TTCATTGTCCAGGGCACGCAATGTGGCACGCAGGTCGAACAGATTGGATGTGGCAAGCGGCTGTCCCACGCCCACACCCAGGCCCACAGCGCCATAGCCAGCACCTGCGCCACCATACAAGTCCGGATAGGGCATATAAACGGCGGGCTGTGGTGTCACCTGCGAAGTTAATAACATGCCAGCTTGAGTGTTGGTCGACGTCGGCGCCGACGCCTGCGTCGCAAAGGCCCATTGCTGTGGCCCTGCAGTCGTCAGGGGATACATCAGTGGTTGGCTCTGATTTGCAATGGGAGCTGCTGCAGCATTAGTCGCTGCTGTCCCAACAGCTGGACTCGACACGGCCGCCGCCTGGGGCTGGGGCTGTACGAGCACAGGAATCGTCATTGCGCCGCCTCCTGGAGCGGCTGTCTGTTGTATGCAGCGTAGCGTTTGGCTTTGAACCAATTTGGCAAAGTACATTTGGTACTGCAGCTGCATGTGGACAAGCAGATGCACATGGAATTAGGATGCGGCGGAGAGTGACTTTCGAATTGCACCTGTGACTCACCTTCATCATTTTAAGTCTCTCGCTGCGCTGCGACATGACAGCCGTCTGCTCATCGATGCGCTCCAGCATCTGCACCAGCTTTTTGTTTCGTTCGTTGCGTAGCGTCTGCTCCTCCAGGAACTCCTGGTATTTCTGGCGTGTCTTCTGTCGTATGCCTTTCTCGCTGGAGCACATGAGAATGAATGACGTTATAAATGAGTTCCTGGACTCGTTGGCACAGCAAAAACAAATTTTACTCACATTTCACTGCGCTTTTGCAGAACCTTTTCTAGTTTATGCTCCAGCTGCTGGCGATTGTCCTCGCTGTGGCACCAGGAAAAATGCAGAAATTAGTCATACATATAGAAGCATAAAATATATTATAAATAACAGTTTTTTGTATATCCACAATATTGATTCCGAACTTTCAAGCTTTGCCTCACTTACTTAACTCAAAGTCCATCAAATAATTAGAAATTAATGTAAGCTACAAGCAAAGTTGCAAAACTAAAGGCAAAGTTAAGTAATTTTTTCTTCTTTCTCTGCCTTCAAAACTTATTAAATAATGTTTTTCTGCGCAGAGCAAGCTAGCTGGCTTAAAGAGATCTCGCCTGAATCATATTTACTTCATGTTGCACTTATATCTAATTATAAAATGTGCTCCACAAACCTGCGACGCAGCTTCTCCTGCAGCAGCTCCACTTGCAGCTTGTAGTTCTCCAGCTCCGCCTGCGGATACATCTCGCTGCTGCACTGGGTCTAGTCGCGCTCGCACTCACCGTCCGACTGTCGATGGCAGCCGGTGCTCTGCTATGTTGACACAGTTAGCGTGGCACCGCGGGCCCAGCACCAAATACAATAAATGCGGCATTGAGAGTTATTTTTAAAGCAACTTTATTTGAATGGGCGCATAAAAGGTGCAAGCGTATGTGTGCCTGTGTGTGCCTGTGTGTGTGCGCTTGGCATTTGTTTATTGAATGCGGTTGTCATGGCTACCTCATTTCTTGGTTCAGTTCTGTTCACTTTTTATACATTTTTGGTGGTTGCTTGGCATTGGCCCGGGCTACAAGCAGGCAGGAGGACAGGAGACGGGCGACAGGCGACACTGCGGAGTGACCTGCCCTTATTGATTTTACTTTGGCCCCTTTTGGCTATGGCCACACAATGTGGCGGACATTGAGAGCGGCCGGCTAACTTTCGATTTTGCCCATGTTCACATCTGGGGTGCGCATTAATTGCGCGGCCAGCAAGTGGGTCAGTTTTTTAAGCACCTGTCTGGCGGCGCGAGCTCCACACGAATAGCGAGAATCGTTGGGGCTGGCCAGAGCATTTGTCATGGTATTGCACGAGATCTGCCTGGACGAGCGACCGCAGACTCCGCACTAAACTTTACCGATCCCTGTCCACACTTTAGGGTGGCTGACAAAAAACACATGTTGTTCTCACTCTCACTCTCACACTCACACTCTCACTCACTTTCTGGCGAGGCAACCAAGCGTGCAGCACCTGAATGTGAATTAATGGTAGCGTCTATCACTCGTTGGCCGCAGACAACGGCGCTCTGACATATTCACAGAGTCACCATCATGACCAGAGCCGCGACATCGCCAGTCGGTGCAGCAGAGAGGCCCGACTCCTGCTCCTGCTCGTGCTGCTGCTGCTGCTGCTACCCCTAGTTCAGCGTGAGGTTGGCTTGGCTTTCGCTTGGCATCTGCCGTTGTCGTCACGGTGTCGTGGTTGCGGCTCGCAACATACAATTTTCGGTTATTTACACTGGCCAACATAAATGCGACAAGTTATGCGCGCATAAACAGAGAATACAGCATGCAGTGTGTGTGTGTGTGTGCGTGCTTTCATTGCGGATGGATAGCTTTTAGGGATAGTTCAGTGTATATTTAGTATGTAGAAACTAAAAGTAGCTAGCTAACAAATTAAACACAATACACAAAATAAATTAATGAAGCATTTATGTAAATATTTATTTTCATCAAAAGACAAGTCAAAGACAAGTAAACCTATTTCATCTGTACGTCTAATACACTGAGTTTTACTGCTCATAGATTGTAATCTAATTAGAAATAAAACCCCTAAAGATCCTCATTAGTCCATTTCAAACCATTTCATAATACTAAAATTAGTAGACACAAAAAAAATAAATAAATAAAAATAAATAAATAAACTATAGATTTTAGAAATATGGAAATATATCTATAAACCATATATATACAAAAAATTCATTATTAAGGTATGATATATAAATGTGTATATGTGATATTAAAAATATTAAAAAATAAAAAAAAAAAATAAAAATAAAAAGTAAATATAAATAAATAAATAAATTCATTTTTCTTTCATAAAATATCGCAAAGCTCCCCTACTTAAACGCCTTTTCCTTTGCAATGTATATGCCCTTCGTTACCACATGTCTAATGTAAATATTTAAATAGCATATGACAGACACAGACAAAAGACAAAAAAAAAAAAAAAAAAAAAAAAAAGAATTCAAAGCTTGATATTCCGATTATTGTTTGAAGTGTGGTCAGAGTGCTCCCTTTTGCCATCACCGTATGAATTCCTATCACCTGTAAAGTCCTCCACTGAGGCATTTGCTTTCATATTTATGTTGGAGCTTATTGCGAAACGAATTTAAAACAATTGATTTGCCAAATAAAGTTGTTGCCAAGTAACAAAAGTACCAGCCACGCCCATACCCCCTCCACAAAGCTGATAAAAATATGAATGAATGAATGAATGAAAAGCCAAATATTTGCTAGAAAATTCTATTGACATGCAATCATCAGCTCAGAGACTGAGACTGGGCCTGCGGTTAATTGATTTTTAGCAGACACTTCAAGCGAAATGTATTTTGAATTGTCGCACAATATATTTATTATTAGCATTGATCTGCAGCTCGCGATAAAATGCATTGACCAAGTATTGAACAAACTGAAACTGGCTTCAATGGCTATGCATTGCTCTACCAAAGTATAAAAGGAACGGAATTTGCTGGGAAACTTTCTTGGCGAATCGAAAAGAAAATTGAATATTTGGCCAGAGCGAATTTATGTGTATGGCTTTATGCTGCAAATGCCACATTTTGTGAGACTATGCTGCTTGCAGGAGTCTCTCTCTCTCTCTCTCTCTCTGTCTGTCACACACTCTTTCTCTTTATGCGTGCGTGTGTGTGTGCGCGCTGCCTGCTTATCAGTCGCTGCACAGCATACTTTTTGGCGCATTTAATTTCAGAAGAAGTGGCGACCTCGACGCCTTTTCCCGATTTGCAGTCAATGAAGCAGAAAACTGAAAACTTTTTCTTTGCACTCTATTAAAAATAATGGCCGCTGACAACGGAGCCACTCGCCCAGCGCCAAGCGCCAAGCGCCAAAGACGCCACATGCAGTTCCCATGTGTCGGAATGCCACGGCGGCTCTGCTCTGTGCCAGCCTCGCAGTGGCTCACAGTGTGTGCGCGAGACAGCAGCTGCCATAATATTAATATGTGTATGTGTATGTATGTGTGTGTACTTCTGGTAATTTCTCATAGCGCTCCATTCATAGAGCCTGCGCTGCCAATGACCACCGGCGAGTGCCTTTCAAAGGGCCGCTGCTTGAACTGTGGGGCAAAAGTTCAACCACTCGAAATTGATTGAATTTTCTCTTTTTACAAAGTTAGATATTGTGAATAATTTAACTGCAGACATAACTGAAATGAATACAGAAAAATTAAATTTTTAAATATTTATTATTTAAATTATTTTAAAAATAATATATAAAATAAAATTGAAATTACTCCGATATAATAAAAATTTCAATTTGCTTAAATGTCAGTGGTAAAGCTAAGTTGCAGGGTATCAAATAGTCGCATATGCATAAAGCTCTCCGGACTGTGTTTGCCCTTTCGCTGTTGACATGGTGGAAAAAGCTTCAGAGCAAAATCGCGCAGCTGTGCACAGGTTTTGCGGTTAACGCGATAATTTAATTGTAATGCGGGTCTGCCACCTTGTGTGCCAATAACTTAAGTTGCAATCGGCGCAGGGCTTATTGGGCAGCAGGCGGTGGATGGGAGCAGGGCATGGGGATTGTGCAAAGACGCACAGGCTAGTTGGCTGGCTGAAGAAGTGAATGAACCCAAGAGGAACCGCCGCCATGGCTGGCAGCAGAGCAGCAGAGCAGCAGAGCTCGGGAGACAAAGATAAATTCCGAGACTGCTCATGCTCATGTTTCTGCTGCTGCTGCTGCTGCTGTCCCATAAAGGCGCCAGCACGAGTTTGGCATTTTTGCACGTAAACGAACGGGCAATGGCGGACGACGACGGCAAATGCGTAGCATACCCATTGGCGCTTGGCCAAGCAGAAGAGGACAGAGACAGTTGCATTACTTTCAGCCAAACAACAGTTGCCTTGGCAACCTCAGACATGCGATATCGATAAAGTAGCCTAGCAGCCAAGCAGCCAAGCAGCCGCACCTCACACGACCCGCTGCAGCCAGTCAGAATGGAGGCCTTCGATGAGGAGCAGCAGGCTGAGTGGAAGCGCTTGATGCTGGCTGTCACCTATAAGGAGACCATTGATAAGCTGGTGCTGCAGCAGCGCTCGCAGCGCCTGAATATGCAAAAGCCGCCGGCACGGCTGCCCGCCTCCTTGCGCAGGCTGCGCAGCTCATCCATTGGCCAGCAGGCGTTGCCTCAGCGCCTGCTGCTCACGGGCAAGAAGCTGCCGCGACTGGAGTCCTTGCTGGGCGACACAGATCTGGATGACGTCCAGGTGGATGAGCGTGTGCTGGATGCGCTGAAATATGAACGAGATTTGGACGCACTGCGTGCTTTTGTTATGGCCGCCAATGAGCAGCTGTTCATGACCCAGGAGGAGCTGGAGAACGAAAAGCCCAGTCGCCTGGAGCTGGCGATTAGTGACCTGAGCGGCAACAACAGCGAAGAGTCTGTGGCAATGAAGGAGCTGCAGCGCTCCAAGGACGAGCAGATTCAGCTCAAGGCTGAACTGGAGCAGCTGGAAATCGACGGGGCGGCCAAGCTGAAGGAGATGGAGGAACGCATCGCCGATGCCAAGTACAATCTGAAGTGCGTCTCGCGGGTCAACGACTTGGAGTTCAGTCTGGTCGAGCGCTGGGAGGCGGCGCGCGTGACTCAGGCCCAGATCTGGGGCGAGAATGCCGAGCGAGCCTACCTGCGAGACATACTCGACTACAAGCAGCGTCTGGCACGCGAGGAGCGCGTCGGCCAGGAGCTGAACGCCTTTCGCAGTCGCGAGCTGGCCGACCTGCGGGAGCGCATTGAGCATTGGCAGCAGCGCTATGCCACTGAGATGCGACGCGTTGAGCGCGAGACGGAGGCCTGGCAGCTCCGCATCCTCGAGCAGAACAAGTTGCTGGCGCATCATCGCGAGCTGAACGCCCAGCACAGGCAGTTCGTTGCTGAGTATACAGCCAGGAAGGAGGAGGAGCAGCGGCTGCACGATCTGGAGGTGCATCGCATTGAGTGCGCCGTCAGGCTGCAGGCCTGGTGGCGCGGCACCATGGTGCGACGCGGCCTGGGCCCCTTCAAGAAGAAGCCGAAGCGCGGCAAACGATCCAAGCCCAAGAAGTAGACAAATTAAATGCAATCCAATGGCAGTTGAGCCTTTGCCTTTGCCTTTGCCTTATGGAAATTCACTCGTGCCTTAAAACCAATTAAAAAGTTGGCTCGCTGCAGTTAACACGTTAGCGGTCAACGGCTGGCGTCAGCCTTAATGGCTTGCCGGCATTGTCAACAGCCTTGGCCATTGTTTACGCGCCGCTAATGGGCCAGCAGTCATCACAGTGCTCTGCTGCTGGCACTGACAGCAGAAGGCAGCAGCGGCAGCAGAGGTTGCTGCAGCAGCTAAAGTTGAAGTTGGTATTAAAGCTTTTTTTCTTTCTTTTTTTGTATTTTTTGCTCTTATTATTTGAATTTTTCCTCTTTTTTCATCTGCTCATGTGCATAGCTGGGATGCATGGCGCCATCCAAGTGGTTTCCAGTAGCAACAATGGCCTGCTTGGCAGTCAGTTTGTTATTGTCGTTGCTTTTGCTTTCATTGTTTGCGCGCTGTTGGTGCAAGGCTATAAACAGCGACAATTTGCCCGCTGAATGGGTGCAACTTTCTCTCTGTCAGGCTCAGCAGAAGCGCAAGCACAACTTGCCAATGTATGCCTGTGTATGTGTGCGTGTGTGTGTGTGCATTGTAATTTAAAATATAATTAATGGCCGTTGCCTTAATTTATTGAATTTGCATGGGCGCCGAGCACGTTGCCATTCCCTGTTTCACTCTGACCGTGCGCCCACCACACGGCCCGCCTGGCCAACTGCTAGCCTGGCTGTTATTGTTTGGCTTAATGCTCACTTTTGTTTTATACCCTGGCACTCGCAACAACAATAACTACCCAATAATGACTGCCGCAAGTCCATTTTGTTGCAAGGCCTTTTGTCTATTTGCTGACGGCTGAATTAATGGAAGATGGCGTGAGAAGAATACAAAAATAAATATAAAAAAGAAAAATAAAATACAAGCAAAAATGTGAAAGGCACAGCAACCATTTTTATGCACACATCCATATGAAATAGCACGAAAATATTGCTGAAAAGAAAATGTGAACGAAGGCGTATATTGTTAATATGTATATTCCACATAGAACTAATTGGGAGTAGCTTAAAGGGCTATGCATAGCTCTATATTAAATCTGAGTTATTTGAATATGATTAGTTCTTGTATGGTAATGAGAGTCATTGCAATTATAGAATAAAATAAATATGAATGAATAAAATAAACATGTAAATTTTAAAATAAAAATCGTAATTAGCTTATATGTTATAGCTAAAAATTGGGACAAATTTTATTACCAGTAAATCAAAAATAACATTAGCATACTGAACTTTTTACATAAGTTGACATTGACTCAGGGCAAAGCTTTGGCATATATGTATATGTAAATCTGAACGAATGCATTAAAATATATATTTAATATTTAAACATTTTTTGAAATTAGTTTAAAGATCATTTATAATAAACTTTGATGAAAGACTGAAAGAAAAATGAAATATAAACAGGGCACATTTTAGAAGAATCACTCTAAGAACCACATGAAGATTTTAACTCTTTTCTCTATTCAGGAGCCGACATTCCATGACTGTTTACGCAGATCAAGATATAAGCTACTTCTTAGGCAACTAACTATTCTGTTTTAAAATATCCTTTATATGCCTGTACATAAATGTTTAGCTTCTTGCAAGGCCAGCTTAAGTCTGTCGCTCACCCTTTAATCCGGGGATTAAATTCATAACTAGTTTGATGTGTAGCCTCTCGCACTTGTGCACTCAAGTCGCCCAGTCACAGCCAAGGACAACTAGTTGGCTAAGGGCTTGCTCTGGAGCACAGCGCTGACTGTCGTATGCATTAGTTAAAACATACTAAAACGAACGTTTGCCGAAATCCTTTAAAAATGGCGGGCCCCACGAGAAAAGGGCCCCAAATAGGGCCCACGAAAATTTACATTCAAATTAGGGTTAATGAGCAGTGAAATTGTTATTTAACTTCACTTGGCCGTTAGCCGCTTTAAAGGGAGCAGCACTTGGCCAGGTTTTGTTTTAAATAACCACGCAGTTTGCGACACGTTTTAGATATTTTCTAGTGCTAGGCAAAACGAAAAGGAAAAACGGAAAAAATGGAAGATTACCAGAGGCAGACAGAGAGAGAGAGAGAGAGAGGGAGTGTGAGAGAGAGAGTGTGAGAAAGAGAGCAGCAACATGCTGCCTGCTGGATATTCGGGCGCATAAATTAATTGAATATTGTGAATGCGCCACGTGCTCAGACATTAATTTCGTACACATTTTATTTGACGTCGAGTAATATTTAAAATTTAATCAAGCACTTTAATTTGATTAACTACACACGTCTTTCAATATAAATTTATGGCCGCTCGACGCATAATCAGAGACCAGATCCGCTGCACTGACCAACCGTAAAAAAGGGTTGCCCACCTCGCCAGCTCAGCTCACACAATTTTTTAGTCTCGTCACAGCTTTCAACACTCCAGCGCCGTCATTTAAAATGCGTGCGTGACGCGACGCTCGACGGCTGGGAGACGAAAGGGGTGCTGATGCTTTGGCATCTAATAGCAACACGTACGCCTGATAAAATATTTTATTGGCTTTATATTATTTTAGCATTTAAAATTAGAGCCGCCGACCTGCTGCTCTGAGTCGAGAAAAATTTTAAAAATTGACAACTGAAAAATATATAGAGATATATGTATGAGAATTTAATGAGCTTTTTTGTGCCAAACACACACACACACACTATAACAAAAGGCAACCAGCGCGTATTCTCTATGTTCTGCAAGAGTACTTAAATAATTTGCATTTAAATTGTATTTTATTGTATCTACATTTCAAAATAAATACTTATAATATCTAAAAAAAAAAAAAAAAAAAAAAAAAAAAAACATGAATAATATTTGTAAAAAAATTAAATTTACTATATGTATTTAAAAAAAATAATGAATATATGAATAGGAATATATGTATGTAGACTTTAGTTATATTGCCTGTTCGCTATAAAACAAATAAGTAATTATTAAACATGAATTAATTTAACAACATTTGAAATTATTATTTGTATTTTATCTACTATTTGCAATATGAAAAAAAATAAAATAAAAAATAAAAAAATACAATACAAAATGTACCATAAAAATGCAATTTCTCAATTTAATTTGTCAATAAAAAATATTACAACATTTTTTTTAGAGCAGCGAGAAATCATCTATCAAAAAAATTTAATTAAAAGTACATAGTTTGAAATCGAACTTTGGCATACAAATTAAATATTAAACGTAAATAGAATTTCCAAATAAGAAAAAGATTGTAAATATTCATAAAATAAAATTAGTTGAAAGTCGGACCTTATGAACTTGAATAAATACTCATAAACACAATAATTCCAGATCTCTTTTAGTATTCGATGGGACTGGCAAACTTTTAGAGTATTTCTTGACGGCGGCTGGTCGAAATCCATATTTTATGTAATTGGTGCGGAACTTTAACGCTCTTGGCGTGTGCTGCAATTTGGAGTCCATAAATCATATTCAAATATACGACCCGAAAGTGAGGAGCTAAACACAAACACCGGAGTCATTTTTATTTGCGTACGTGTCCTTTGTGTGGCGCCTGGCTGAGGACTGCGAGTAGCCAACTACTCGTACTGCATATCGCATCATGCAAATCTTAAATAAATCTTTAATTTCTGTTTCACGGAAATCACGCCCAGCCGGCCAGCAATTTAAGCTCGTACTTGGACTATCTGGGACATGAATGGCAAACGGCAAACGGCAAACGGCACGCGGTAAATGGCAAGTGGCAAGTGGCAAATGCTTCATGCTAAATTTCAAATGTGAAACGCCAAATGCCGACTCCTGCTGCCAAATGTTGCTGCTGATTGTGATCTATGTGGGCGGCTCTCGCGAGCATCTCGCACAGTTGCTGCTGGCATATTTGCGTTTTCATTGCCGTGCGCTGTGAAGCATGATTTGATTTTCATTTTGCCCGCTCCACATTTTTGTGGCATAATTCAGCAATTAGCTGCGATTGTGAGGTGCGCTTTGGTCAAGCGGGCCTCTCGCCGAATCAAAAATCACAGCCTCGCACTCGGCTCAAAATCTGTGTTCAGCGGGCAAGCAAAGAGGAAAAAAAAAAAAAGAACGAACTCGGAAAAACGTTGCTCGCAATGGGGATTCGCTGTTATTTGTTTACTATTTCTGCTGTTGTAGTTGCGCGTCGTTTGGAATTTTAAATATGGCGTCTGTTTTGTTTGAAAACGGAAACGAGTGTCTGTCAGCTTATTTGTTTGTTTGTCTGTTCGTTATTATTGTTGCTATGCTGTTGCTGTTGTTGTCAGCAACGTCGACGACCCGAAATGAACTCCAGCAACTTTTATGCCGCTCCCTTGGCAAAGGAAACGCCGTCTAATGTGTTTTTTTGTGCATCCGTCTGTTGTGAGTTTTTCCATGTTTGTGTTTTTGTGATTGTCATGGCCAGTGGCGTCGTTGTCGTTGACCAGGCACCAGAGGGTTTTACAGTTTAGTTGTTACTGTTCAGCAACAATAAAAAAACTAACAATATAAAGCTCAAATTTTATGAAATTTTCAGTTTGGAACTCTTATTTATTTCATCCAAAATGGAAAATTAATAATGTCTAAATCATATTTACCAACCATAAATACCGCCGAATTTCGCATGTTATGAATTTTGCAAAGTTTTGTATTATTTTTGTTTAGCCCTCTCTCACCCCGAACAATTATTTGTATTTAGCGCATGTCCCTGTCTCATTTTCAGCGGAAAACTGTTTAAATAATCAACTCACATAGACCATGACATAACGGCACAGTGCGCTTCTATGCGTTCGTCCTTTGCACTAATAAACTTTACTTTGCATTTTTAATAGCCTACTTTTCGGCGCATTAATTTTAATGTTACTATTTTGGCCAGCAGCCGACAGACAGAGGGAGAAACAGAGAGAGAGAGAGAGAGAAGAGATTGTAGAAGGCAGCAGAAAAGAGTTGGGTCGATGCGGAGCACCTTGCTTAGCATTTGATACCGGATTTAATCATTCGCAATTTGACTTAATTGCCAGCACTCAATTTTTGACTCGCGAGTTGCCTATCGTAATGGAGAGGCCTTGAGCTGAGCAAATGGATGTGGAGAGCCGTTGGCAAAACGAAACTCGCTTATCGCCAATTTCCAATAGTTTTTGCATGACCTTCGATACACTCGCACACACACACACACACACATGCAAACTAACATATGAGCTATTTATGCAGATTTTTTGCATTTATAATGAGGCAGCCGCTGCCACAGATAAACGTGCCAATAAATTAATGTGCTTTGCATTTCGTTATTTGCAGTCAGTCATACGATAGTGAAATTGCAAATGCATACACAAATAGCATGAATCACATACGAGCTGCCATATATTTGCGTGCTTTTGTGCTGGGAACAGCCTTTGGGCTGCATTTTTCTGCCAAGCTTAGCACCACACATAATTTTAATTAACTACAGCTCGATGCAGGCAATGCGCATATATCAAAAACTAAAAATAGAAATAGAAAAAATAAAAATAAATAAATTAAATTCAAGTACATAATGTCAGCCATATTCCCATTCTCAGCGGGTATACCAAATGCGATTATAATATTTAACTAACTATGCTGGAGATGCGATGAGGCTCGCCCAATGGCTATGCACTTAAATTTGTTGGCCAAGGCAAGCAGGAGAAACCAGAATAAAGCAAAACATTTCTGCATGAAAATAAAAGTGGGAGACGCAGTGACAGATGGGCGAACATTTTGTCACAGAGTATGAAGTGTAAAGCAGTTTAAAAAGAGGGAAACACAAAAAAATAAACAACAAGAATAAATAACTAAAGGAAAAATAAAATGCCTGACGCCATGCACAAACAATTTGCAATTCAACAGCTAAAGGGATCAGCACTGACAAGCGCATTTGCAGCACATCAACGGGAACGGGCGTTGGCCATGGCAGCAGTCCAGCCACCAGCCCCCCAGCTCCCAGCACTGCTCCCGCACCCGCACCCGCAAAACCAAAACATCAACCATACACATGTTCCCTTATCTTTTTTACAATGCTGGATGCAAAATCATCTAGCATCCATATATGTTGTGCACGCTCTTACGCTTCATTTTGCAGTACTCTATCGCAGA